AGTTCAAGGCCAGCCTGGGCTACCAAGTGAGTTCCAGGAAAGGCGCAAAGCTACACAGAGAAACCCTGTCTCGAAAAACCAAAAAAAAAAAAAATAGTAAGTGTATATTATTTTAGAAAGGACAAAACAAGCCTTTTAAAACACAGTACTTGAATGAATTCCTAATAAAATCAAGAGTTCAGTGACAAAAAATGATCAGTGTTAATTTATCAGTTGTGACAAAAGTCCTGCATTTGTGCATGATGTTAATACTGGGAGAAACTAGGAGAAGCTCTAGGTGTGTAGCAATTCTCTGGGCTCAGTAAGTTAAACGACAGAGTTCAGTGGTAGAGCACTTGCCTAGCATGCATGAGGCCCTAAGTTTCATTCCAGGTATCACACAAATAAAAAGTTATTTCAAAGTATAAGTTTCTATGTATGTGTGTGTATATATGTGTACATGCACATGTGTATACCTTGGTATCTGTGAGGACTTCAGGTGCAACACTGTAATGACTCTTAGTAATGGGCTTTGCCTCATGCCCTTCTGGCTATGTGTAAGAGTTCATATCTGCTTCGATTTTCTTCTCTATTATGGAGTTAATGTAAGTCATGAATGTTGTCTGACATTCCTCTATACCCCCATAGTGGCCTCTTTACTGAAAGGAAGAAAAGGTGTTTACACAGAGAACGAGAGACTGATGGGAGCCGTGATCAAGACCCGGTTTTTCAAAATAATGCTGGTGTTAATTGCATGGTAACCTTTCTTCTAGTTTTTTTATTGTTGGTTGTGTTAGTGGGAAGGATATGCCAACTTGTCATTTTACTTTTCCAAATGTGACTTGAGTGTTCCAATGGAAAGAATCTGGAAGGGAAATCTTTGAGACAATGTAAGGTATTCCCTAAAGGAATGAACAAAACAGGTCAGCAAATCCAGAACTCATATATTTTTATAAAACCTTTATGACAATTATGTACCAAACCCTGAAAATAAGAAGCTAAGTGTTCAAGTTTTTGTTTTGTTTTTTAAAGACAGATTCAGCCAGTTTTTCTTTTCTTTTCTCTCTTCCTCCTCTTCTATTTTATCATTGTTTGAGACAATGTCTCACTATATACCCCTAGCTGACCCAGAACATGTTATGTAGGCCCCAGTGGCCTTGAATTTTCAGTGATTCCCATGCCTCTGTCTTCCAGGTGCTGGGATTGCAGGCATGTACTGTCATGCCCAGCTATATGTTCAGTTTAAAAAAATTTTTTTTTTCGAGACAGGGTTTCTCTGTGTAGCTTTGTGCCTTTCCTGGATCTTGCTCTGTAGACCAGGCTGGCCTTGAACTCACAGAGATCTGCCTGCCTCTGCCTCCTGAGTGCTGGGATTAAAGGTGTGCACCACCACTGCCTGGCTCAGTTTTCAAATATTTAATCCATATGCACCTGATATTTCGTCTCATTACTGGGCTAACCAAAATAAAGGGACAGTCATGCTTTTTATTTTATGTATATAAGTATTTTGCTTGTGTGGAAGTGTATGTACCATGTGTGTGTTTGGTGCCCATGGAGACCAGGAGAGGATGTTCAGATTCCCTTGGAGTTACCACTTTGTTTTCATTTTTAAAGACAGAGGGTCTTATGAAGTTGCTCTGGTTAGCCTGGAACTATCAGAGATATGCCTGCCTCTGAAGTGCTGGCATTAAAGACATGTGCCACTGTGCCCAGCAGGTACAGACATTTGTGATCTATCTTGTGGGTGCTGTGAACTGAACCTAGATCCTCTGCAAGAACAGCAAGTGCTTTTGAATGATGAGTCATCTTCCCATGCCCTGGCTGTGTTTTATGAGTGTGCCCATCTGTCTTACTCTTGTCCCCACAAGTCCTGTGTCTTTAGGGAAAGGTCAAGGCCCATCTTCAGTGTAAAGGCTCAGCTCACTCACTGGTGGGTAGAGAAGAATCTGAGCAACTATCCCCTTTTGTGCCCACCATTGCACAAATATTTGTGGTTGATACTTTGAAAGCATGTAGCAAATCGTATGTAAAAAGATTCTATCCAAGATGAAGACATCATGGGAGTGGGAAGAGGCAGAGTGCCAGGGAAGCTCTCAGGAATCCACAGGGATGACTCCACCTTGGACTGCTGGCAGTGATCGAGGGGGTGCCTGGACTGGTGTACTCTGTTAACTAGTCTAGTGAATACCCTAACTGTCATCATAGAGCCTTTATCCAGTGACTGATGGAGGCAGATGCAGGGATCTGCAGCTGGGTGCCAGGCTAAGCTCCATGAATCCAGTCGATGGGAGAGAGGAGGGATTCTGAGGGCAGGGGACTTCCAGATCATGATGGGAAGACATGCAGAAATGACTGGCCACACTGGTGGAGACACATGAACTGTGGAGCCCCCATGGGACTGGACTAGGCCCGTTGGTTACAGGAGACAGTTGTTTAGCCCGAACTGTTTGGGGGGCACCTGGCTGGGGGATCGGGATCCATCTCTGGTGCATGGGCAGGCTTCTGGAATCCGGTGCCTGTGGTGTGACACCTTGCACAGCCTTGGTGTAGTGGGAACGGGCTTGGACCTGCCTCAGCTTGGTGTGCCAGGCTCTGCTGACTCCCCATGGGAGACCTTGATTTGGATGATGTGGGGATTGGGGTAGCTTGGGAGGGAGGGCTGAGGGGTGGGAGAAGGGAGGAGGGGGATCTGTGGGTGGTATGTGAAGTAAGTAGAAAATAGAAAATTTCTTAATAAAAAAAAAGATTCTATCCAAACAGTAATGAATCAGTACCATACAGAACATGTCAACTCTTTGTAGTATTAATTCCCCTGGCATGAGGACATTTCTTTAAATGCCCTCTGAGGAGAGGCCTAAATTATCTACTGCTTGTCATCCATTCACCTTGTTATTTCACATTCCAGGGACCTACCAAGATTGACATTTTAAAATTCCACATAAGGACTTGTTTTAAGTATTTTTCTACTGCTGTGATAAAAAATCATGACAAAGGCAATTTATAGAAAGAAAGGTTTGCCAGGCAGTGGTGGCCCACGCCTTTAATCCCAGCACTTGGGAGACAGGGGTAGGCAGATCTCTGTGAGTTCAAGGCCAGACCATAGAGCAAGTTCCAGGACAGGCTGCAAAGCTATCGAGAACCCTGTCTCTCGAAAAACAAAACAAAACAAAACAAAACAAAACAAAACAAAACAAAACAAAAAAACAAAATGAGAGAGAGAGAGACAGAGAGACAGAGAGACAGAGAGAGAGACAGAGACAGAGAGACAGAGAGACAGAGAGGGGCGTTGGAGCTTACAATTCCTGAAGGATAGGAGTTCTTCACCATCATAGCAAGGAGCATGGTAGCAAGCAGACTGGCAGGGCACTGGAGCAGCATCTCAAAGTTCACATCCCAGTTCACAAAATGGAAGTAAAGAATGCTGTGGGCTTTTGAAACTTCAGAGCTCACCACCAGTGACACTCCCCCTTCAACAAGACCACACCTCCTAACCTTTCCCAAATAACCCCACCAACTGGGAATCAAGTATTCAAATGGATGAGCCTACCAAAGCCATTCTCCTTTAAATTACCACAGGACTAATGAGATGGTTCAGTAAGTAGAGGTGCTTATGCTCAGGACTGACTACTTGAATTTGATTCCTGCATCTCACAAGATGGCAGGAGAGAACTAACTCCTAGAGATGTCCTATGACTCCCCCTACCCCTGCCCCTGCCCCCAAGCATGCATGCATCATCTCTCAGGTACACACAAATTCCATATAAAATATCAAAATAGCATTTTGGTCTCCATCAAAAGTTTAGGTTACTTCTCAATAAAAAAGGAAAGAAAGATGGGGAGGGGAGACAGGGAGGAGAGGAGGGAGGGGAAACTGTGGTCCATATGTAAAATAAATGAAAAAATGTTATTTAAATAAAATTTAAAAAAAGAAAAAGAGAGAAAGAAAGAAAGAAAGTGTTTAGGTTACCTCTCTCATGGAGAATGAGTTCTGATTTGATATAGAGTTAAACTTTACACCTTGATGTGATGTGGAGTGTTTCTACCAGGAGGACTATTTGAGGTCTGTGTTAGACCAAGAGAAGGATTTGTGCTTCTTAAAGTCTTGGTGACAACTCAATTCCTTCCCACAAAAGTGGTCAAGTTGCTACCAAAAACTGGTACATATAGACCATGGTAAAAGTCACAATGAATTTCACTGAGTGCTTTCTTTACCTGTGGACCATTTTCTTCCCATCAGTTGGTTGTCCAATATCATCAATGAAAGTCTTTTGTTCTACCTTGAAATGCAACCAGATATCCGTGGAGGCTCTCTGAAACGCATCCAGAATGCAGCCAGGACCACATGGTTTATTATGGTAGGCCAATCTAGACTAATTTTTTCTTCTTGTAAAAAAAGAAAATCAATATGAAAAACATTCAAAGTAAAATGTATAAATATATAACCAGTGCAAGATTTTTGGATTATCTCTATCATCCTGATGTAATGCTAAGCTAGATTGAGTCACTGTATTATTGGTTAGGCTCAGAGCTGGGATGTAGCCTGATGGCAGAGCCTAGCATTCAAGGATTTCTGTGTTTGATCATCAGCACTGCAAAATGAGTGAGTGAGTGTGTGAGTGAATGCATAAACAAATGAATAAAAACGAGGCAATCTCTGTTAAGTCGCTCTGGCCTAGAGTATGAAGCATTTGAAATTAACTCACAGTATCAAACTGTTACTCTTTTTTGTTTGTTTTAAAATGATAGTTTATTTTATGTGTATGGGTGTTTTAGAGGAAGACCAGCCACTGGGCTTACCAGGATGGAACTTATTATGTTGACCAAAGGTTGTCACTTTCCCTTTGACCTCCATGTGTCCTTTTGCCCTCCTTCCTAGGGAATACTGAATCCAGCCCAAGGACTTCTCTTGTCTCTAGCCTTCTATGGCTGGACAGGATGCAACCTGGATGTCCACCCTCCCAAGATGGTGATTCAGTGGGAAGCAATGACTGCCTCAGCTGCCGAGGGCACATACCAGTCCCCTGTGGGCTCCTGTGTGCCCCATGAAAACCCCAGGAAGGTGGTGTGTGTTGGGGGGCACACTTCTGACGAGGTGCTGAGCATTCTGTCTGAAGGTAATGCCCTGTTGGCAAAGGAGGTGAACTGCAGAGCCCCCAGGGCCTCCTGGAAGTCCCTCATTAAGCTGGGAGGTGCAGATGGGAACCTACATGTCACTATACTCTTGCATTTCTTCTTCCACTTCTTTTTGTTTTTTATTTATTTATCCACCTCTCCTCTTTTAGAAATCTATTTCATTTTATGTGTATGGCTGTTTTGCTTGCATGTATGTCTGTGCACCACATTCATACCTGGTGCCCATGGAAACCGAAAGGTGGGACCAGATCCCCTTGGAACTGGAGTTATGGGTGTTTGTAAGCTGCTATATGGATGCTGGGAATTGAACATGATTCTTCTGGAAGAACTGCCAGTGCTCATACCCACTAAGCCCTTATTTTTAAAACAAAATCTCACCATGAAACAAAAGCTAGTCTCTAACATTCAGTCCTCCTGCCTCAGCTGTTTGAGTGCTGTTACAGGAATATACCACCATCTCCAGCTAGTTGGTTGCTATAATTTCCTGGCAATCGAAGGAGAGAGGTTTAAAAACACTCAGGGGCTTAGTTCCCAGCACCCACATTGGGTTACTCACAGTCGCCTGTAACTCCAGCTCCAGGGGATATGATGCCCTCTTCTGGTCTGGGTGGGCACCTGAACACATGTACTCATAGATACACATAAATAAAAACAAATCAAACAGCAACAAACTTACTCAGGTACATCAGAACAATCCTGCCCATTCTCAGCTGGTTTTGATGCTACACTCCTTATCACATACTGTTTCCAGAGCAGCACCCCTTATTTTTAGCTAGCTGCTTCTACAGGCTGTTCTATGCACTTAGAATGTTTAGCATCCTCTTTAATCTCAGTTCACTAGAGTGTGACAATGAAAGCTCTTTACACATTAACAAATGTCTTCTGTGGGCATAATGTCCCCTGGATCAGAAAATGTCTCCTTTGCAAAAGCTTAAAGAAACTTACATTTTTGAACAGGTTGTCTGGGGTACATGCACATCCATGTACACACACACACACACACACACACACACACACACACACACACACACACACACAGAGAGAGAGAGAGAGAGACAGACAAGACACAGCCCCACCAAACTACTTTGGTGTATTTTGAGAAACATGTGTGGAATTGACTAGAGGAGTTCTTCTTCTTTTTCTTTACTGTTATTTCAATACGTGGAAGAAGATTCATTTTGGGACAAGTTTGAGTGAGAAAACATGTAGATAAATCCATGACCTGATGCCCTGAGCTGGTATTGGAGAGCTTTAGAAGAATCAGAGAAGCCCTTTTGGCTGGACCTACAAGATGGAGAAACCTTGTGTTTTGGGACTTTCTTTCTCTTTTTCTGGCTGTGCTGGAATGGAACCCAGGGTCTCATCCATGCTGGGGTATTACTACAAACCCAGTCACACCCTAGCCTGTAGGCTTCTGATATAGCCCCAGTAGTTCATGGACAGGGACATACAAGTTTAGACTGCTGTCAGCATGCCAAGTTACTGATAGAACCTGGGGCAGGAGGCAAAAAGTTGCACCTAGAATTAGTTGTGTGTGTTTGAATTCCCATCCTGACGACTCAAAACAACTGAGCGATTTTTGACACTATAATAAAATCCTACATTAACAATAAATCCCACTACATCTGGTCCCTGCACCCTACCTCTCCTAGAATTAACAAGGCCCTTCTTGTTTCTATTCCTTCCAGATAGCTATTGCCTAGGACTGTTGCTCATAGGCTGAAAGCTTTCAGAGTCTTTAAAAATGAACAAAGGTCCAACAGGAAAATAAAAAGGGCCATTGTTCATAATGGCTGCTGTCTTAAGGATCCCTTCTTTGCTGATCTTTTTTCCTCTTTTTATAGTGCTTCAAATGGAACCCGGTGTGTTACCAATGTCAGATTATTGCTACACCACAGAACCACACCCCAAGTCCTATCTCAATTCCTTTCAAAGAAAAGGAAGAGGTTCTGGCATAGTAAGGAAGACTGGAACCCCTCTACAGTCCCGAAAAAAAGACAGTCCATTGTGATATACAGCCCAAATACCATAGAATTTATCCTTTGAAGAGTTTAGTGCATTTTGCTATATTCATGAAGTTGTGTAGATGTTCCCACTATCTAAATCCAGAATATTCTTATCACTTGGAGGCTACATTTCCCATTCTTTTTTTTTTTTTTTTTGAGCCTGGGTCTCATGTATCACAAATTGACATCAAGCTCACTATGCAGCTGATGCCGACTTTTCCTGATTGTTCTGCCTCTATCGTATGAGTGCTGAGATTAGGAGAATGCACCACCATGCTCAGTTTACATGGCGCTGGGATTGAATCTGGGGCTATATGCATGCTAGGCAAGCACTTTACCAACTGAATTACATCTTCAGTTCCTGGCAGCCACTAATTTTTCTACATATATGAATGTTCTACACATTTCCTATAAGTCACATTATACAATATTTGCCCTTTTCTGTCTGACTTCTTAGCTTAAAGTCTTGAAAGTTCATCCAGTAGCAAACATCAGCACACAATTCTTTTTTAGATCAATAATATTTCATAGTATAAAAATACTCACTTTATAATTTTTTTAAATCAACTACTGTTGACTGTAAAGAACTCCACCAGGCCATGTATTAGGAACAGTGTCATGGGTTTGCAGCAGTGACCATAAACACTGCCCTCATAGTTTATTGCACAAATTCAAAGCACTTAAAATAATAATTCTACTGAATTAATGGAGCAATCATTGAAAATATTGATTTGAGAAAAAATTGGAGGAAAAAGAAAGCAAATGAGCCGGGCGGTGGTGGCGCATGCCTTTAATCCCAGCACTTGGGAGGCAGAGGCAGGCGGATCTCTGTGAGTTCGAGGC